GAATAAATTTGAGAGCCTTCCCAAGGTAAGCTTCATGACCAGACGTATGAAATCGCTGAAATATCTGGACATGAGCAACAACTTGCTGAGTCACGATGGAGCTGATGTGCAATGCCAATGGGCTGAGTCTCTGACAGAGCTGGACTTGTCCTCAAATCAGTTGACGGATTCCGTGTTTGAGTGCTTGCCAGTCAACATCAAAATACTTGACCTACAAAACAATCAGATCACCAGTGTCCCCAAGGGGATGGCTGAGCTGAAATCCTTGAAAGAGCTGAACCTGGCATCGAACAGGCTGGCTGACCTGCCGGGCTGCAGTGGTTTTACATCCCTGGAGTTCCTGAACATAGAGATGAATTCGATCCTCACCCCATCTGATGACTTCTTCCAGAGCTGCCCAAGGGTCAGAGAGCTCCAAGCCGGGTACAACCCGTTCAAGTGCTCCTGTGAACTGCGAGACTTCATCCGTCTGGAGGGGCAGTCTGGGGGGAAGCTGTTCGGCTGGCCGGCGGCATACGTGTGCGAGTACCCGGAAGACTTGCGAGGTACGCAGCTGAAGGACTTCCACCTGACTGAGCTGGCTTGCAACACAACGCTCTTGCTTGTGACAGCCCTGCTGCTGACGCTGGTGCTGGTGGCTGTCGTGGCCTTTCTGTGCGTCTACCTGGATGTGCCGTGGTATGTGCAGATGACGTGGCAGTGGACGCAGACGAAGCGGAGAGCTTGGCACAACCACCCCGAAGAGCAGGCGACCGTTCTGCAGTTTCACGCGTTCATTTCCTACAGCGAGCGCGACTCGTTGTGGGTGAAGAACGAGCTGATCCCGAACCTGGAGAAGGGGGAGGGCTGTGTACAACTGTGCCAGCACGAGAGAAACTTCATCCCCGGCAGGAGCATTGTGGAGAACATCATTAATTGTATTGAGAAGAGCTACAAGTCGATCTTTGTGTTGTCTCCCAACTTTGTGCAGAGCGAGTGGTGTCACTATGAGCTGTACTTTGCCCATCACAAATTATTCAGTGGGAATTCCAACAGCTTAATCCTCATTTTACTGGAGCCGATCCCTCCGTATATTATCCCTGCGCGGTATCACAAGCTGAAGGCTCTCATGGCAAAGCGAACCTACCTGGAGTGGCCGAAGGAGAGGAGCAAGCGTGCCCTTTTCTGGGCTAACCTGAGGGCAGCTATTAGCATTAACCTGCCAA